TATATATATATATGATTATATTCTTTTGAATTTACTTTTATTTTTATTTTTTTTACTGAATTTAAAGAAAACATGCAACTGTTAATTATATCCACATGAGTTTCCTGACAATGACTTTAAAATATAAATGTAATTATGAGTCATTAAACTTGTTCATAAACAACCATTCAAAACCAAGACTCTTATGCTCACCAAGGGTGCATTTATTTAATAAAAAACAAAACAGTAATATTGTGAAATATTATTACAATTTAAAATAACTATTCACTACTGTTTTCTAACAGTAAATGTTCAGCAACTTTATTTATTTATTGCCTTTTAATGCCTTTTAATTTTGGTCAATTTGTTTAATATTTGCAGAATAAAAGTGCCAACTTCTTTCAAATATCTTACTGACCCCAACTTTTCGAATATAGTTGGATATAATACAGACAAAGTAATTACAAAAATACAGCTCAGCCATGACTGTGAGTTCTGACAAAATTTTATTTAAAATGTAAGTGTTCCAATAATAAAGTAAAACATAAATCAACAGCAATATAAATATTAGCTTATAAAATAAAAAGGGTAACATGAGGTGCTAAGCATTTCTTTAAAGGAATCACAGCCAAATACAGAAAGGTAGCCAAGCAGCAGACAGACATTTATATATAGATAGATAGATAGATAGATAGATATTCATAGTCAAACAGACAGGAGTGGCATTCCAGTATCATTACCAACTGATTGGAATTACAAGCACAAAAAAGTACAGTAAGATGAGGGGAGGGGTGGTACTCTATAGACAGTAAGTATCGTCTGTTATCTTTCAAAGTTGTACGTGATTGGAGAAAAGGAAAGTTCAAAAGTGTAATCAAGGGGGAAAAACATAAAAATATGCACATACTCCACAAGCCTTAAGCTACGATTGCGTGTCTTCAGAAGTTTTAGTATGTACAGTGTGGTTAGTTAATGATCTTGAAGCTTTTCTTCCTACAACACTACACTGAATCTTTTTTCTATCATCTTTTTTTGTTGCTTTTTTAAAAAAAAATACTGAAACATTCCTGTAACAGCCAGCCCTTGTGGCTCTAATGTTTGTACAGACAGGTTACACATTTTATATACACTGTGGTGGTGGTGGTTGGTGCAGAACAATGGACAGAATCCTTCCATCTAAGATCCATTCAAGTACAACACTTAAGTTAGTCATTAGTCTTTCCACATGTTCATTATTTGTTTCTTTCTTTTTGGTTCACTTCAAGTTTCCCATTAACTCTTAGTGCATTCACTTTGAACTAAATCTTTCTCTGATCTTGACCTTACAAAGGCTGAGGTGTTGTTGAAGCTCTTTTCTGAGCTTCAACAACACCGTTTACATTACTTGCATTTCCAGGATTCTTATACCAAGCTAACAGGAAATAAATGCAAAGAATAGTCAAATGTTGTTAACCTAACTTTTGTTTCTGCTTAACTGACTATTAAGAAGTTAATGAAGACTGAATCTATTTTTAAAAACCATGCCAACAGTGTCTCACCGAACGCAAATGTATTCTCTTACTCCGAAAAAAATAGTTAAATATACTTTCTTGTGCCCTTTTTTTTTCTTAGTATCCTGTTTTCACTGCATAGTTCAGCTCAATTTTTTTTTATTTTTTTTCAGTCAAGGTGAGAGTTGTGGCACATTGTTAAAAAGCCTACCAGCGTTTCAATTTGTAACCACAAGAAGCATCTACTTTGCTTTGAAAAAAACACAAAAAGAAGGCTGAAACATGACATTTGGAAAAAAATAAAATAAAAGAAGAAATGTATAGTTTCTTCTTGTTTTAGTAATGCTATTTACAAGACAGTGTTATCTGTCAGAGAAAGAGCTTCGGGAATCTGAACACATCTCCTCTTGTTCAGTCATTCTTTGTTTCAGCGACAAAACAGGAAATGCTTGATTTTTGGGGTTATTGAGTAAGATATTGCAATACAATTCAAAATACAATCAATAAAAATAGGGAAATCTAAAACAAACAAATAAAAACCTCACAGAAAAGAACATTAAATCTAAAGACTAAAGATCTAAAGATCCAAACCTGTGGACTAGTTTTTTGAGGAGAGATGCTCAGATCCTGGCGACATATTTCTGCAGCTCTTATAGTGCTTCCACGCTTCTGTCTTACTTCTTGTCTTTCTTAGTAGGCTTCTTCTTGCTAGCGGGCGTCTGAGCTGCCTTGGGGGCTTCGACGGGAGGAAGGGCTTGGGGAGGGGGAAGGGCCTGCTGGGGTACCTGCTGCTGAGGGTTGGCCGTGAGGGTGGCGGTGCTGCCAGGGATGTAGACGTTCTGGCGGTAGTCTGGGCCGTACTGTGGATTGTAGCGAGGGCCGAGAGTTGCAGTGGCTTCACTTGCTTCTGACAGCAATGGTAGGGTGAGAGAGAAAGAGGAAATAGAAGGAGGTATAGAGACCGTAGAAGAACAGGAGAGAGAGAGATGGGAAAGGTTATAGATGAGTTGGTTCGGCACAGAGCTCATAATTCAGTCACTCAGGAACCGCATTGCAGCTCCCTCAGTGACCTGCTTCTGCCTGCCCATCCCCCATGTATTATGTATGCTGTAACATCGACACACATCACATACTCAGCAACGCGTTTACAGAACTGAAGATATGTATATACAAGAATAGCACACTAAAAACCAGTATTTTCACAGTTCTTGTGAAATGCATTGCAAATGGAAGTGTCATTGTCATCTAACAGCATTGAGGCAGTTCTGCCTTTGTTCCCAAATCATATATCTGTTTCTTTTTCACAAATTCATAATGAAATTGTAGTCATGAAATTGTTAACCTAAACCAAACCCACACTTGTTAAAAAGAAGTGCAGTTAACTGTATTAAACTTGTAGTGTACTTCAAATCATTCAAGCATATAAAAAAAAGAATATGCAGATTTATATGATATTAATGACATAAAAGGCCTCTTAAAGGGATAGTTCACACGAAAAAAAAAA